TTGACCCTATCGTGAACAAAGAAAAATTCGACCTGACCAAGAAAAGGTTAAGAAATATTGTAAATAATTTGGAAATTAAGTTTCCATCGACTCGGAAAAGGGAAATTAAATTTTCCATTTTTTCCAAAATGGAAATTCGCGCATTTCCAAGAACTAAAGCTAACTGATCGAGAACTGGACAAAAATCCAGCCTCGTAGACAAAGAATTAACTCCGGTTTATCTTTATTCTACCAAAATTCCGAACTTTCCGAGCTTCACCGAGTCCCTTTAACCCTCTTCTCTATTTTCCCCGAGTTTCCTCGGGTTCTTCGGATTCTACCGACGAGTTACAAGGAGACCCTATCGATACACGCGATTTTAATTTAGAATTCCAGCCGCGGACTCTAACGGCGACACGGAGCCACGAGGTATAGACAAATCGTGGAATCGATAACGACAAAGTTTCGAATTCCACGTCGAGGATTATGGGAAAGTACCGCGTACAGGTCGACCAAGTCCGACCACGACATTATACAGTCGACGCCGAAGTTACCAAGCGTTTGCAGGGGCGGCTCGGAAACATTTCCGGTGGCTTTATTCAAATCAGAAGAATAAATAACGAAGAGACGACTGCGCCAATATGGCAGCATTGATCGTCTCCTGGAACTTGCATCGTTAAGGAATCATCATCCTGGCTAAGAAACCGACTAAATATACGACGCACTGAGAGGAATTAACCCTTTGCACTCGGCGATCTTTTCGTGGCAGGAAAATTTGCTGCCACAAGCTCGACGATATTTTTAACCCGGTAAATAAGAAATCGTATGCAAATTAAGACGTAAAATTATTTTACTCCATATTCCACTCATCGTATAGTAATTATGAATTATCATACATTAATTAACCCTTTGCACTCGAGAGGCGCGCTTCAGTCGCCATTTAATAAAATATCAAAGCTCGATATTCACAAATATGTCAAATATCAGATAATGCAACGGTGTGCGAGGTATCGAAATCAAATAATTCTACGTGTTAATTATCATACGATTTCTTATTCCTGCTCAGAAAAATATCGTCAGCTTCGTAATAGAAAATTATTGAACTCCTATCCTTCTTTGGCCAAAAACTGGTCGAGGGCAAAGAGTTAACATTCATTTTTAGAACCTGATTAAATGGCGACTGAGAGGCACCTCTTTAGTGCAAAAGGTTAAAACCCAAAAATAATCCTGACAACGTAGTAACGAGCAAATCTGGATATCCAAAATAAACTCGTTTCCAAGTGAAAAATTAGATGAATAAGTAAACCTTAATTGAAAATTGAATCCAAATCTGACTGCTTATAAGAGTACAAGATTGGTAATTTAAGGATTTTATTATTACAAATGTCGTCTTTCCTTTATCCTATTATTAATTTTGACATTTTGCGCTCATTTTTGCTCCTGATGTATATATATATGTACTCTGATTGACTCACTGACATTGATCTTTTAAATCTCCATTGCTGTATCTTCCGAGTTCCTTGCCAGGAAGTACGCATTCCAAGTCAACTCTCTTATCAAATTTTAATGAACCAGGGACGAGACTCTTTTTAATAAACCTTACGACGGGACGGGCGCTTTCCTGCTTATCTTTGCGAAGAATATTTCCCTTAAACATGAATATTAATTCAAGTTTGGAGTTAAAACAACTGTTTCCGTAAGTACCTTACCCTCGTCCTGCTTTCCTACATTTTGAAAAAATCCCGAACGAAACTCGAAAAATCGTGTTACCATCCACGAGGCAGTCGATATTTTCAGAAGCAGACTACTAAAAAATTAACCGTGGCGTAATACTCTAATGGAATGTAATCTACGTCGTTAGTTACTAACGCAGGGTTTGAATAATTGAAGAAAGACGTTCTCCTTTCTCCGTTCCTCTTGAAATTCTTAAAAGTTCCCAGACTCGTTCCATAAATATTCTTATACCTCTTATATAAAAATATATAAGAATCTCGTAAATTATTCTTCGTGAAAATTATTAGCTACAGCAATTGCGTGGAAAAATATAGCAATCGTTGGGTTAGGTTGAGGTTAGGTTTGTCTTTAGGAAGGGTGCGTTTTTCCGATGACACGGTGCCGCCATTAATATTCAAAAGCGAAATGGTAGTCGTCGGGGATTAAACGGAATCTTGCCCGAATAATCCAGTCTAATTCAAAATAATGCGCCGTTAAATTCCAAGGATGTACCTCGAGCGATGCTAAATATTTCAACGATTCCCACGATTTCCCGAGGACTGGCGGATATTCCGGTAAAAAGGGAATCCTCGAGGAGGCACGGGATCCTCCGTTCACCGTGCGGGTGCATTAAAAAACAATGAACGCTTCAACTTGCCAGTCACGGCAACTACAAATACGCTCGTCGAAGTTAACAACAGGCACTTTCAAAGGAGGCAGCTGCAGCTATACGCCTAATTCCCAGGCCAGTCGTTCACACCGCGGTCGCCTTTCCGTCTGTGGTTCGCGAACCCGACAACTTCGACAACGACCTTTGCCGTCGTTCGTTTCATTTCGAAATCGCTTTCGTCGCCGAGTCGAAATAACTTGGCCGGAAGTTCGCCGCCACGAAATATCTCCGCGAATTCGACTTCCTGAGTCCGGACTTGCTCCCTTTCACCCTCGGCTGTCGTGAATCGCGCGTGCAAGAGAAAACTGGCTGAAGAAAACTGCCAGAGGGACGAAAGGAGTACAGCTTGACAAACTGACGCGCTTAAAATTGCGAAACGTTATGTAGCTTAATACCGACAGAACCTACGTGAGTATGTGTGAGTGTATGTTAAGATGAAGGTAGTTTAAGCAGAGGGGGTGGTTTCTTGAGCCAAGTTAACGGGAAGCTGGAAAGCTTTTGATATTCGCGAATCGGATACCGGAGACTTAACCGGAGAGACGCAATTTGCTGGGTAATTTTTAGACCCTCGAGATTGGCGGTGTGTTTAATAGCCTTCTTATGTCAGGCTGAGGGTTAATTGGTGGGAGATTAAACCAGTGTGTCATAGAGTTCGCTGCAATTGCATCGTAGCTCGGGCAATCTTCGCGAGATTCGTTAAAGGGAGGAAATAGCTAAATTCCGAGTACTTGCGTACTCGAAACTCGAGCATAGAGTGTCGAAGATATTTAGGTGCACTTGCTACTGGAGATTTTTAAATGAAAAATAATAATCCAAATCTGGATATAATTCTAAACTGTTAGCGAGTCTAGGACTGACTGGAAAGGGTATATAACAAGACCAAAAAATACTAAAGAATTTTACAAGAAAGACTAGAGACCTGCGTCATGACCGTGGCCATATTGAATCGCAGCCTGAGATAAGATAGTACAGAATTATCTATAAAATCGATCGCATGGTATAAAATTCTCGAATTCAATTTCCAAAACACGGATTGAATTTATGAGACTTATATGCCTATAAGATTGCAAGTATATTATTTTTAACCAGTCGACATCGAATTAGGACATTTCAAAATTCACCGATCCTTAACACACGAGTACTAATTCGAACGTGACCCATACATCTTCGCGATCAACTCCGCCCAGATACAGACGCATAATCAACGAAGTTTCATCCGACGGAGTGTTTCGCGATCAGAATTCCGTACACCGAGTGATCCTCGTGTATATGGCAAATAACGTGATTAACAGTGCCATGACACACCGCAGGCCGTGCAACAGCGTGGGTGGGGTCCAGTTAGCCAGGGAGAAACGCGACACGACGAGGACGTGGCGATGCAAGGAACCATCGCGACCCGATACGACCTGACATGATTTAACAGAATTCTCCGGAGCGTCTATGGAATCACGAGGAACACGCCAAGAGAGGGAGAGGGAGAGGCGCAGACAGGAACGGAACATGGGCACAGATAGAGACACAGACAGAGACAGAGACACGGACAAAGACAGAAACATAGATCGAGACAGACAACAGAGATATAGGTAGAGACACGGAGACAGAGGCAGAGAGAGAGAGAGAGAAGAAAGAGAGGGAGTACGTGAGCGCGGCAGAGTAAATCAAACGCACGTGACTCGCGGCGGCGTTAACCACTCTCACGACCGGAAATGGGATCAACACCTGCATGTATCACCGTCGTCGACGGTGTGCATTGCCGTCAGATGTGCTGGACGATCGCAGATGCAATGCTGGTCGTTTCGTACGACAGTTGCCCGATATTGTATAAGCAATCGGCTACTGAATGGATTTGTCACGCTTTTAGAGAGCAGTATCAAGTGGCGAGACTCAGTGTACCGAGAATTTCGAGATTAATAACGGTCCCTATGGACGACGCCATTTCGCGAGTCCGATAGCGCGAGTATGCGCGGACGCCACCAGTCGGCGCTGTCGCCCGTTCCGTTTCTTAATGTCCGGCCTGTATTTACGACGCACGAAAGCTTATAGGGACTTATGGACATTGTCTGCAGGCATTTGCACGCGTGGAGGGTATACGAATGTCTACGGGACGCGGTCTGTTAATGGAATTCTGTAAGGTATGGACACGCTACGTATTATGGTATGCGACACACGATGTAACGGGTCCTACACAGTGTCTGTAGTAACGTATACGTGCAGACTGTCCGTAGACTCCCGGCAGACAATGTCCTGGAAGTCTGTACATGACCTTTGCTAAGGGACACGTGTTGTTATACGTTATATATCACGTGGCATATGTTACGCGAGCTGCTCACCTGCCAAATCGATCAACTCCACGAAACGAGGAATAAAAATTTATTTTTAGTACTTCCAAAAAATTCAGAATAAATGTAATGCTTCGATAGGAAAATTCGAAAGGAATTAAACAGTGGAATTAATCGCTTTGGCTTGTGATGCGATTTTAGATTAAATTATAGCGAGACGAGAGGAATGCGATACTTTAAAAATAGATATCGAACATATCACGGGTATTTCGCACGGAACGTGATATTTCCGATAATTATACGATGCAGTAGGTAGGAACAAAATTGTACAATGATATTATCTTGGTGATTTTACTCACATTTTGTTGGCGGGGCAAGCAAGAGGAAGCTAGGAACGCATCGTTGGATGGAGTATAGGTAATCGTCGAGGAGAGCTCGTTTCCTGGAATACTGGCCACAATTTTATTTCCACTTCACTTCCCACTCCCAACAAATTGTGTCTCTTCCAATCCTATTTTACAAATTTTTTCTTAATTTTATTTCTATCGCGGTAAACAGTACGGTATTTCTATTTTATATATTCTTATAACTAACAGTGAGCCATAATTAAATTAATTGCAACATTTACATACATCGCTTTTTCCTTCTTTTTTCTTTGAAATATTTTTATTTGCTTCCTTTAATTTTGACCGACGAAAAATAACTATAATCGTTACCGAGGAAAGATACGAGAATGTTTATGAAATGTCGGTGGTATTGAGAACATTCTACGAGGGTCTATTCACCGACGTTATGAAAAACAAGTCCTACGTTGTGTTATGGTCACTAAGCTGCGAGGGCCTTGATCCTGACGAATGTAAATAATTTGCGTCACGAGGCAATCGTTCGAGATCTTTCCTGTACCGGTAGAAGCTACGTCGCATTATTATCACACCTCTTAGTATAAGCAAGAAAATAAAAAAAATCCTATGAATTTGAACGAAATGAAATCCTAATCCTAAATGTAATATCCGATTAATTATCTGACAATGGATTTTGGGATAAATATCCAGGAAATTGCCGAAATATAAAAATATCTCCGAATAAATATCATACTGCATGACTCAATGGTGCAAATTTAAATCTGAATCACGATTATCTCGAGTAAGGAAGTAGATATATATTCGTGGTAATCTTATGTGGCAGCTATATCTCTTTTATCGCCTTATCTTTTGATATATAACGTCTGAAACGTCTTTTTGCAAGATAACGAAGCAACAAGACGCTTTTACCTTTATTACAATACAACATAATATTTTGATTTTAATTTCGATATTAATTTCAACGTGCAAATACGAAATGAATTCATTTATCATTGAAGACTATATATATATATAAATACCTGTAGTCACGATATGATACTGATAACGTCGAAAGCAATGAAAGAAATATCTATTCTTTTCTATGCGTTTACAAAATACCGCTTTGTCAGTCCGCCATTGTTCCCTTTCTCTTCGCTAAACAAATGATCGACTGAATTTCGCATTTCGAAATTAATATACGAAATAACATTGAAATCCATAAGAACGAAACAAGAGATATAAAAGCAACGTATGTAAATGTTGCAATTAATTATCCGATACGAAACGACTTTCCAAATCTACGATATAAAATATCTTGCGCATTTACCTGCACTGTTTTGACTCGCGTAGTAGCCTCTTTCGCCTAGCACCTCAAAACACCAGTCGCGTCACTTTATTTCCTCGCTTAACGCGCCACTATTAATAGAAACTACGTACACCAGAAGCACACCGTGTCCTTTATTCCTTGTCGATTACATTCACCAACAGCACACACCGATTACACGTAATATTCATTGAAATAATTGGAAAAACTCGCTTTGCAATCGACAAGCTGTGTCACTGACCATGGCCCGTGGTAAACTGCGCGGACGCGATGCGCAGTAGGCCGGCACACGTGTTCCTCGCGGCACAATGCTTGATACTGGCGACAGCTGTGGACCAGCCTCACAAGACATAACCTTTTCCAACAATGCGTAGCATCATTGGCGAAATAAGGTCAATGTCCCCTTCGTTCTAAACCACGCACTGTCTTATTCTTTAAACTTCTACAAACTCTTTTTCCTCTTATCCCACTTATACCGTGAATATTTCAAAACTATACGAGAAATAAAATTATTTAAATTTATTCGTACGATTATTATTACTAATACTTCACCACGCAACCAAATCGATAACCGAATAATTTTAATTACCTATTACGATGAAGAAATTTGTTATTCATTTATTCCTCTTTAACGTATAATATTTTGCTGCAAGTATCATACCTTTACGATTCGATCGGTCACGATTTATATTATCGTAACAATCGCAGTAAAGGAGAAACAAAAAAAAAAAAAATTCGCACAGTCAGGATAAAATCGTGATTGGAGAAAAAATACATTTTACAATTCTGGCTATTTCAAAGAAGACCAATGTACTGTACGTTTACCTATAGTAACGGCATCGGCGAAGGAACGAGGAAAAAGAGAGTATCGAGGACAGTGACAGCCGTCACGATTCCCGGTGCGACAAAGACAGCGTGTATCTGAATTCCACGGTCGGGACAAAGACACGAGACGAACGTTGGTCAGCGCGAAGAAGAGAGGTGAACCTTGCGCAATCAATTTCCAGGTGAAAGGCTGGAACGTATGAGAATCTATGATAACTGTACAAAGACCGTTGCTTTACCGGTGCAACATTTGCCTCCCAATTTTTAAATTTGCATCGCGTAAAAAGTAAATAGACCGGTGAAGAATATATTTTAAAAATAGCACGAAATATTTTCCTTCTGTACGTCGCTCCTGCCGAGAATAAATATCGAACGTCGAAGAAATAACTGGAAGGAAATAACGTTATAAAAATTCGTTGAAATGGTGTTTCGTTTGAGTAAAAGATACGAAATAACGATCGAGAGAGCAGGAATCTGCATTTGTAAATGCAACGTGTAATCCAGCGTAGAGATTGGAGAAGCGAAGGCGAAATTAAACGCATTAACGTCGAATTTCGGAGGCGACGCACGCAACCTAATTTAATTGTGCCGGGCTGATCGAAACTGCGGACAATTAATTAGCAATGTGCCGGACATTTCGCGAGGAAATCCGACAGGTGGACACGGCGATCTGCTAAGTTCTGGGTACTGATTAGGCCCCCTGAACGCGACAGGTGGTCGAAATATGTCCTCGCTTTCGCATAAAAATTTCTAAGAAATCTATTCATCCCTTTCAACCTCTTTCTACGCTAGTCCATGAACTGTATACTTGGCGAATTTTACTTACCTACGTTCTTACGAATGCGTTAGAGAAAAATTTGATAATATCAGAATTGCTTCGCAATTTCGGATGAAATTATTTTTACGTTTCTTTATACTCGGAAAATTCATTCATTTTTCCACCACTGTGAACCTGTGTATGGATTCAGAGAAAGTGCTATGAATAGATTATGAAATCGTGTATTTTTGGTACAGGTATTATTTTATTCGATAACTTTTTAAACTTTTAAATATAATATAGTATTATCATTTCGCCAAATGACAAATTTGATGAGAAGGGGAAGGCATCGAGTAAATGTTTAAAAGTAATAAGGAAATATAAAATGATATGAAAATAAATAAAGTATTATTCGAATAATGGTAAGATAATATCATATCGTAAAACGAAGGAAATAAATATTTAAATAGAAAAGGAGTGAAACAGTACCACTGTGATTACTCCCCTGCGTGAGGAATTAATATGGATAAAATATAAAATTAGCGATCAACACTGATATTTCGAATATAAGGAAGGTAATGAAGTTCCTGTGAAAAATTGATAACGAGATAATGTATTCGTTTGAAACATCAAGAACGACACGTGTAAGATAATAATCGTGACACGAGTACAAGGGTAGAAAATTCATAAAGTATCGATTCTGGCTTTCAAAATAATTCCAAAAGATAATCACGTGCAGCAGTAATTATTAAAAACTCGAAATTTACGATTATCGAAAATATTTATAATTAATTATTACAGAAATCGATATCGATTTTTGTTACAGTTTTACAATAATACGCAGAGCAAAATAACACCGAACGATTACCATAATCTGGTTGAATGGAATCGAAATGGAATCGAAATGGAATCGATATGGGAGCGAAATGCGAAAAATATTTTTCATCGAGGCAGTTATGCCGTCATTTCGATTCCTGCTATTTCGGAAAGAACCATCGCGTACAATTATTAACAGTCATTTCTGAAATCGCTTGAACCCTGGTTCATGTAGTCTGGACGAAATCGAGCACGCGATTTCTCCGGGAATTTAAATTTTAAAAGCGTCTTTAGCTTCCCGTAGCTTGAATATTTCCGTCGCGTACATTCGAAATAGCGCATACTGCGGAAATTCACACAGCAACTCTCGAAACGTCGTGTATGCATAAAACGTGATGCTTCGGTTCCTTCAAGAATTCCTCCGTACATAGTATGAAATGATACACGCGCATACATCTTGTTACGCGAATTCTCCTTCGGGTATTGCTATGAAATCCACAATGTACAAAGGAGACACGAAACGAAAACGAACTTCTTGATCTCCAAATCCGATTTTCCAATGCTATTCTATACGTAAGCGAAAGAAATTCTCGTAATTCTAAGTCACATGTATACCAGACTGTGCATCTACTGTGATAAAAATAAATACTGCATTCGAAAGTTTCTATACGTATTACGAAAAATTTTATTCCTGGACCTCTATTCGTTATTTGAAAATTATTATTGTTATTTAATAAATCATTTTTCGCATTAGTATATATATATGTAGGATCAGGGTGGGTGGATTGTCTAAAATAATGTTGTTTTACTGCTTCTTAAAATACAATAAACTTATACTTATTGGCTACGAAACTAGAAACCTGCTACAGGTGCACTTTTACTTCTTAGACACTATGTTGAGGACCGTTAAGGACTGGTGCTGCACGCGCCCTGGCACCCTTATTTAAGCATTCACTCTATCCTTTTCCATACCCAGGCTTTCCTTCGCAATCATACTTCTTTCCCACACAACCTCGGTGGGCACGGTACTTCAAACACTCTGCACGCATCCCTAATCTTTCACTCTCACATAAACATTCATTGAAATCGATCCTTTTGCGCGCGGTCTCTTTGGTTCTGGGTCCAGACACACTTGCCATTCTTCCAGGGAACTCTTTCCCACACAACCTCGGTGGGCGCGGTACTTCAAACACTCTGCACGCATCTCTAATCTTTCACTCTATCATAAACATTCATTGAAGTCGATCCTTTTGCGCGCGGTCTCTTTGGTTCTGGGTCCAGACACACTTGCCATTCTTCCAGGGATATACTATATATATATATATATAGGGTATATCATCGGAAATATATTATTA